TACTTACCTGAGCCCAAACCCGATCCAGCATTGTGCGCAACAGCATCAGCTCTCTTGGCTCTTTCTCTTCTTATTGAACAGAGAGGTAGCAATGGGAACCATTGGCTCCTGCTGCTGTCCATCACAGATAGTGAGGAGAGAGTGGGGGGCAGTGCAGAACCGTGCTCTGTGTGTCGATGGACACACAGAGCTGGCTTGGGAGCAAGCATGCATGATTGCCCCCATAGCAAACATCTTGCTATGGGGGCACTCAGTAGGGAGGAGGAGCTAGGGGCATCAGTAGAGGACCCCAGAAGAGGAGAATCAGGCCTGCTTTGTGAAAAACCATTGCATGGAGCAGGTAAGTATGACATGCTTGCTATTAAATAAAAAATACCTTTAGAATCACCTTTAGTTTATGTCATAAATGTTATTTTGCTTTATTTTGGGTGTACAGGTGTACCTTGGTTTATGAATTTAATGCGTTCTCCGGGACGTTGAGAAAATTTCGGAAACGGAAACATGGTTTCCCTTAGGAATGCATTGAAAACCAATGAATCCGTTCTGGAGGTCAGAAAAAAGTTTTAAAAAAGTCGCTGTCACTATAGGTCAGTGCCGGTTTTTAAATGTAATTACCAGCTTTTGTTTTCTTCACTAGAGTTCAGAGAACCAGCTGTCACTTTCCCCCCAGTTAAAAGAAACAATGTTTCCTTATAGTTTGTTTACCGAGATAAAAGATAAAAGTATCCTTTAGCTCCGGAAAGTGACAGCTAATTCTGTGAGCTATAGAGAAGAAAAAAAAATCCAGAAATTGCATTTAAAAATCGGCACCCACATACACTTGAACCCACATACAATTTGAAAAAAATTTGTAAGAGTGTTATTTTCAATGGATTTTCATTTGTAAACCTAAAATTATGTTAACCGAGGCATTTGTGTATTTAGTTTTTATTCAGGCGTATATTTAAGGTGTTTTATGGCACAAGGTTATTTTAGTCAAAAGTCCTAGTGTTACAAAAAGTTGGACCTTTATGGTCAGGAGTTAGAAATTTTGTAGTAACAATTTTGAAGCATACACTGTTCTGTGAATTGTGATGGAATGTTATGGGGAATGTTATTCTGGGCTTTCTGTTACTTGAAGTGTTTTAGACAATAGGTGTAAACAAGATGTAAAAATATTACTTTGAAAAATTGAAAGTGGTTCTAGACGCTAACATTGTTTTACCTTAATGCGTTCCTTGCATTAACGTAAAAGATGTTTAGGCATCGGTATTGGCCCCTCACCCCCCTTCTACTTACCTGAGTTCTGCTTTGATCCAGCACTGTGCGCATGTGCAGCTCTTCTTTTCCCTCACATCCGGGTCTCACAGGCTGTGATCAATTGGTTCCTATTGCTGTCAATAACAGCCAGTGATGAGGAATCGGTGGCCGATTCCTACTGTCTATGTCAATGGATGAAGAAGCAGAGCTTGGGAGCAAGCCCATATGAGTGCCCCCATGATGAGTGGATTTCTATTGGGAGCAGTGGCCATAGAGGAGGAGCCAGGAGCACCAGCTTCGGACCTGAGAAGAGGAGGTTCGGGGCCACTTTGTACAATTCTATTGCACAGAGCAGGTAAGTAAAGACTTGTTTGTTATTTTTAAAAATATATTTTACAACCACTTTAAGTAGACTAAATGCTGTAGTTTTTTTGTGTGCATTTTCTGTTATTTGGTGTTTTCAAGTAAAATACATCAAAACAATGATTTTTTTTTTTGTGTATGTTCCATTTTCTAAAAACTAAAAAAAAAACCCTGAAAAATATCTAAAACACTAAAAAGGGGAACTGTTTCATTTCTTATTTTTTTCTAATTTTTATGAGGAGTTTATAATATTTTTTGATATCATGCATGATCTTCATTACTAACCATGATCATGCACATTTTGATTAAAAAAAATGTAAAAACAAATAAAAAAAAAAAAATGTTCTTTTTTTGTCCTTTTTAGCACTTCATAGTTTTTGAAGTTTTTTAGACAACAATACATTTAATCAAAATAGCAACTTTTATACTTTTAACACTGGGCCTATATTTGTGTTACTCTCTATTTAAATGATTCATATTGCTATTTGCTTTCCTTTTTTTCAAAGCTAAAATAAATTTACTAAAAATATGGAAAAAATGACATTAAATTGTTTATTTAGCTTAGATTTTTTTTTTAACTAAATGAGCACTGATAATGAGGCTATTAGATAGAATTTTACTTTTGCATTAGATCAGAAGCGTGCACTGGCTTATGAAGTTATAGCCATGCCTTTAAATGACAATGGCAATCATTCCATTCTTTAGTACTTGTGCATGCTGTGGAAGAGTGTGCAGACATGCCAACTGCTGTAAGCAATGTGGTTATATACAGATCATTTCACTTTACTGCATTTTCCTTATGTCACACTCTAGTTAATTAAACCCACCCAAGTACATAAAGAAAAATCAGCCCAATATAAATCTTTACATGCAACTCAAGAAGTCAAAGTGTTACTAATCCCAGGACCCTGCATTCACTATATCTGGTCTCCCACAGTACACAGATCATGGAAGTGCAATTATTTTAGGAAATATAAACTGCTACATACTTTTTCTTATTAGCAGGTAGAGCAGTCTTGTGGCTTCTATCAGTGTTTAGCCGAGCACATGTTAAAGCTTGCAGGAGGAGTTTTATTTCTGCTCTAGGAGGATGCAAAACCCCTGACCTCTGTCTGATCAGTGCTGATTGGCCCTATGCTGATCACATGCACTCTCCCAAGAAAAAAAAAACCTCTCTAACAATACACACCAAACTGAGCATGTGCAAAATGCCTATGGTTCACTCTATCTTATCAGGAGATAAGAGGAGGTTGCTTGCAAAAAGGGGAGGAACAGAAAAGACAGGACTTTTTACCCAATGCAGAGGAGTAACCGCTTAGGTTTCACAGTGAGTATAACAAGCATGCTTTACTGTATATACAGACTGATTTTACTGTTGTGGGTTTAGTAACACTTTAATACTCTAAATGTTGAAGCATGCCTTTACTCTCACATTACCCACGCATTATTGTTGGCCTATCGCTATGATGCTTCCTCTCTAGCAAGTTGGAATATATATGACATAGGATAGGGTGAGCAAACTTTGACTCTACCTAGAAGTTCCTGAGCTATGCCAAGCAGAACTACCCAGGCTTTGGATGAAACAGGTCAGAAGTTTAGACACCCATCAGTGCTTGCACATACCATTGGAACCTGTAAAAGAGTTACTGCCACAGACATCAGCATCTTTCCTGTGCATATTTCTGTATATGCTATAATGTGGACAAAGCCCTAAAGACCGCTCCTTCAGGGTCAGTCTTTAGGCCCCATTCACACATTAGAGTAGCATTTTTGTGTGTTTTTTCATGCATTTAGGCTCGCGTTTTTATGCTAACATTTGTGAGCAATTTTTCAGGCATTTTCAGGCTTTCTGAGTGCTGGCATTTTTGTATTGGCCAAAAGAGAAAAAATGGAATCAGTGACATAATATTTTCCATGCCCGGCCGTGTGACAAAACGAGTTAAAATGCATGAAAACGCATGATTTGCTTGTTTCCATATATCTCTATGGGAATGAAAACACAACAAAAACACATCAATCTGCTCGAACTGAGTTACAAAGTAGCTCCAAAACTGTTTTTGAGCTTCAGGCATTCTGCTTCAAGTGACTTGGAGTGGAGATGTGAACGCTCTCCATAGAGTAATATTGATTTTTTATCCCTGAGCATTTTGGAGCTTCGAGCTTCATGCTACAAAACGCTCAGGTGTGAATGGGGCCTAAGGCAATCAACTAAGATACCCTTTTCCCTCTTCTTTTCTTTCCTTCACTATCTCTTCCTTTTTCTTTTTCTCCTCTCCACACTTAGCATAGCAAAACCTCAAAAACAGGACATAGATTCACAGGCAGAGACCAAAGGTAGAACAGCACCCTACTGTGAAGTCCTGATTGAGTCACAGAGAACATCACTGAAATGTAATGCCCGTCTCGGTCAAGTCAGTAAGAGGAGAAACAATCATGAAGAAGTTCTGTATAAATTTCTAGCAGTAATGTTAGAATCACAGAAACCATTTCTACACCATATTTGGTCACTTACATTATCCAGGATCCTCTGTGCTGTGTTACCTTTATCACAGAGTCTGGGATTCTGTAGTCGCAGCACGTTGCAGGGTGGCTTGTCCTGAACAATGAGGATTAGTATTGCTTCACAACTGGAGAAATTATTCACTTTTGTTTGTTTTTATTTTCCTTTAATATTTCTTTTTTTTCATAGTGTCTGTGTGTGTTTGTTTACTTTTCTAATATACTTTATGTAGTGTATCTAATGTATTTACTCTACTAGTGTACCTTTTCCTTTGGGGGAAAGAGGAAATCTGGCGGCATCTTATTATAAAAGGGGCTTCCAGATTCATAAACGGTAGACCCCCCAACATACTTCCTGGGGAACAGCAAGACACTTTTTTCTTCAACATTGGAACAAAGTGCCCTGCAATGGGGAGATGGACTTTTTCCTACATACTGTCCCCAAATAAAAGGATGTGGGGGATTTATAGAACTCTAGCATTCCCGTTTATAATGGGAGCTCACAGATATCCAACTCTTTCAAAAGGAATAAGAAAAAGGGAACATTTGTACCCCTTACTAGTCATTATAAGAAACCGTAAAATTTAAATAAACTACAGGTCAGGCGCAATGAATTGGCCAATCACAGGCGAGTCGGCGTTGTTGTGACAATGCTGGATGCCGTAATTGACGATGGAACATTGATGGAACCCATTTTTTGCTTTTTTTTTAACCGCGTCCATGCCGCACTATAGCAGAAATACTGCTACAGGGCAGCACGGGTGTGAAAAATCATGTATACATACTTGATTTTGCAGTTCCGGGTAGGGGGCGCCGGTGATTCCCTGCCAGCACCCGGCGATCTCCGAGGATTTCCGACAGGGGAGAGACCTGTATGTAAACAATACAGATCTCTCCCCTGTCAGTTCCTGCACACTGCTTTGTACGGCTCTGCATAGCAGAGCCGTACAAAGCAGTGTGCTTACAGTGAAACACAGCACACAACCTCATAGTAAAAGAGCACACAGCACAAAGTTAACCCTTTGATCGCCCCACATGTTAACCCCTTTCTGCCCAGTGCCATTAGTACAGTGTCAGTGCTTTTTATTAGCACTGATCACTGTATTGGTGATACTGGGGATGTCAGTGACACCAAGTCAGCTCCCTCTAGTGTCAGAATGCCCGCCACAGTCCCGCTATAAGTTGCTGATTGCTTTCCATTACTAGTAAAAAAAAAAATCCAGTATATGTATTACACGTATTGGGCTTTTTTTTTAGCAAAGACATGTAGTAGAATACATTTTTGCTTAAATGTATGATGCAATTTGATTTTTTTGATTTTTTACTGGACATGGTTAATAGCAAAAAAGTAAAAAATATAGTTTTTTTTGCAAAATTGTCAGCCATTTTTGTTTATAGCACGAAAAAATAAAAAACACAGAGGCAATCAAAAAAATCAATACCACCAAAAGAAAGCTCTATTTGTGGGTGTAGCGTTGCATGACTGCGCAATTGTCAGTTAAAGTAACGCAGTGCCGTATAGCAAATGGCCTGGTCAGGAAGGGGGGTAAATCCTCAGGAGGGCATGTAGTTAATAAAGGACTTGTCAAAAACTGTTGTGTTTTTATTTACATTGTACACTATTTTTGTTGAATGGGTATGGGTACCATGTACCCTATACTCATTCACAAGGGGGGGGGGGGATCTGGGGGTCCCCTTGTTAAAGGAGGCTTCCAGATTCCGATAAGTGATCCCCGCAGACCCCCACAACCACAGCCCAGGGTTGTGGGGAAGAGGCCCTTTTCCCCATCAACATGGAGACAAGGTGCTTTAGGGGGGAGCCCTCCTAGCCCACAGTACACCCCCCCATGTTGAGGACATGTGGCCTGGTAGAGCGTTTAGGGGGAACCTCATGCACTTTAAAAATAAAAACAAATATTGTGGGGTCTCTCGTAACCTTCCTACTAGACTGGATTTGCGGGGACCCCACGCTGTTTTTTTTTTTTAAATAAAAATGGAATTTAAGAAAAAAATGTCAGTCTTGATGCAGCAGGTTCTATACATTCTACCAATGTGCAACTTTGCAGGTAGTTTAAGAGGACCCCCAGGCATGATATTTAATGGAATTTTTCCATTTTTTTTTCTTTTGGCAATGGAAAATGACTGCCCTTTTAAACCATATATTGCTTGTGATACTGAAAATGTCAATGCACTATTGCAGTGTGTGGTATTTACCAAAAATAGCAAAAATGTTTTTTAAATACCGCATAAATAGACCTTAAAGTCAATTAACTAAAGGAAATAAATAAATGTATGCGGTAATTAAGTAAGTATTGGTCTAGGCATGCGGTATGTACTGGTATCTGTCAGTAACTGTCATGGGTTGTTAAGGAATGGCTGGTAGCCATGTCCTTAACAACCTATGAATCATCAACTGTCAGCAAGGTTCCCTGCTGACAGCTGAATTTTTAATAAAAGAATTGCGGGCAATTAAAAATTTAGCAAAAAAGACCAACCCGCCCACAGATACCCACAACCACAGACCAGGGTTGTGGAGAAGAGGCCCTTATCCCCATCAACATGGGGACAAGGTGCTTTTGGAAGAGCCCCCATGCCCCAAAGTGCCCCCAATGTTGAGGGCATGTGGCCTGGTATAGTTCAGGAGGGAGGGGGCACTCGCTTATCCCCATCTTTCCTGACCTTCCAGGCTACATGTTTGGATAAGGGTCTGATATTGATTTTGAGGGGGAACCCATGCCATTTTAAGAAATAAATTTACGTGAGCAGTTCTCTTCAAAATACATACCAGACCCGAAGGGCTTGGTAAGGATGGGGGGGGACCCCATGCCATTTTTTTTAAAAACAAAATACTACTACTACTACTACTACTACTACAGAAATAACCCCCCACCAACACACACAAGTTACATGCACACATACATACATACAGTATATGCACCGCATACATTGGGGTAATGCGTGTTGATGCATTGAAATACACTAACACACCAAAGGCCCACTAACACCAGTGGGTGCAAACTATGGTGTGCAAAATTAGCACGCCAGTGTGCTCTGTAAACATGCACTGCAGTGTGTTGTTGCAAAAAATAGCAGTGCTTGATCTTTTTCTTTATTAAAACTTTTTAAAATGGGGGTGTGTCCAGAGCATGGCGGCATGAACAGCACACTTGTGGAGCTCTCCTGAGCACCCAAACCTTACTATAGCTCCATACACTGATTGAAAAAAGTTCCTGTATGATTTCTGAGCAGTGTGGTCCTGTTCAGGTGTGGATTAAAGGCTATTGACTTCTATAGGAAGTCTAAACTGCACATGTGTGAACAGTATACAATCCTGACCTGAACCTGTCCTGAACCTGATGTAAACCTGACCTGAACCGCTAAACAACTACTGTGTAAATTAGTGGTGAAACCTGAGCTTCAATCCGCACTACACATGTATGAATCAGCTCTGATGTTCTGGCTGACCGTGTGGACAAGTCTTTCCAGGAAGATGCAGTTACTCTGCAACAAACAGCCTTCAGACTGACAGACCTCATGGACTTTGTAGAAGCTACCAGGTCAGATACCGCACAGAAACACCAGTCAATTGACTCCCAACTTGCTTCTGCCTCTCACAACTAGCTAAAATGAAACTTCATCTGGAAGATATGGAGGACCGCAGCCTCAGAAATAATATAAGAATATGGGGATTGCCAGAGGCATTCATGGCTGCTGACCTCTGTGCTACAGTACTGGGCATTTTTAGCTGTCTATTGGGAGATGTCCTCCCTGAAGACATTGAAGTTGACAGAGTCCATAGTACACTGGGACCCAGACCTGTTGACTCTAATAGATCCCAGGACATCCTCATTCATGTTTAATTTCACATGTAAAAAGAAAAACTACTATGGAAATCCTGTGCACAGCAAATCATGGACTTCAACGTCGCTTCCCTGTAGCTACTACCAGACATCTTGAGAAATACACTCCGCCAAAGAGCACTTTTGAGACCTCATCTTGACAAACAGCAAGGCGTTGGAGCGACATACCGATGGGGTTACCCGTTCCATATTACAGTGAAGAGAGAAACCAAGACCTTCCAAATACGCTCAGTGTTGGACGTTTGTGCCATGTTGAAACATTTAACCCTTTGATTGCCAGGAACACGCTCAGTACACAATAAACCTCCATTGCTAATATAGTGTCTGAACGGATCAATATCTTTGATCAGATCAGAACTATACCAGCGTTCACAATAGTATAGTGTCGCTAAAAGGACAGCATTAGCAGGACCTGCACTTGCATTTAGCCCCTATGCTTAACCCCTCCCCCTCTCTCCCCCTAGCAAGTGCAGTGTCAATAGATCATTGTCACTTGATACATTGCCCACAAAACTGCAGGGTTAGCAGGATCAAGCCTGATCTCTGCAAGCACTAGCAGGTAATTTTTTTTGTAGTGGTTCAAGCAGTCCCTGACAGCCAGGTGCTCTTTTTCCAGTGAGTCGCACTAGGTACCTATAAATTTAGTGGCCAAAATATCCAACGAAAGGTACACTAGTAAAGAGGCCTACAGGATTCTGACCATGTCAGGTGAGAGCAAAGGGGAAGCCTCACTGACAGAATCAGGCTCAGAATATGAACCTGTAGACAACAGCGGCACCCTGACAGATAGCTCAGATGATCGAGTAGAGGTCCCTGCTAAGGTCAGGCAAACCCGACCCCATTTCCAAGTTGCTGAGGTGGTACAATTGCAGGATGATTCTCATATGCAGCAGAGTGCCAGTACTAGTGCCTCTCTACCTTTTGGCAAACTGATGAGCAGAGGCCTAGTGCATTCTGGTCTTTTACATACCAGCACTGCAGTATCACTTGGTGATGTGGCAAGTCCCGTAAATGCAGTACAAGCTGGTGTGGTGGCTAGCACAAGTAGTGTCCCACAACCACCAAGAATTCAAACACGGGCCCATAGAACCCATAGTGTCCTTCCGGATGTGCTTGCAAATCCTGATTGGCAGCCCACAAATTCTGCAGCACCCTTACTTCACCCATTCACTGCCCAAGCAAGAATTCAGGTGGAAACAGCAAATTTAACTACTCCCCTTGATTTTTTGGAGCTGTTTTTCACAGAAGATCTGTATGGATTGATTGTGGATCAAAGCAATTTATATGCACAGCAATGTATCGCTGCTAACCCAAATTCAAACTTTGCCAGACGTTTGCATGGAAACCTATTATGCTTTCCAAATGAAATGTTTTTTTTGGGCCTAACCCTCAAAATGGCATTACTAAAAAAAAAATTGTGGTTGTATTGGTCCAGAGACCCGATTCAACATATACCCATGTTCACTGCTGCCATGGCCAGGCATAGATATGAAAGTAGAGTGTATTGTCATTGAAATGCATAAATCACATTATGTCGTCCTTGGGGTGACCCTGAATTAGACCTTCCCCACAAAATTTGGCCCCTCGTAAGTCACCTTAACCAGAAATTTGCATATGTGTATACTCCCCAGCAAAACATCTGCATTGATGAGTCTCTCACTAATTTTTCTGGCCTCCTTGCATTCAAAAAATTTCTCCCCAGCAATTGTGCCAAATATGGGGTCAAAACGTATAAGTCCTGTGAGAGGGCAACAGGCTATATGTGTAATTTTCAGATTTACAAGGGGAAAGATAGTCATGTGGAGCCCCCCCCCCCCCCCGGTATGCTCAGACTACATGGAGAGCAGTGGCAAGATAGTTTGGGACTTGGTGTCACCCTTTTTCCATATGGGGTACCACTTATATGTGGACAATTTTTATACAAGTGTGACACTATTTAGACATTTTGTACAATCTTGGAATTGGTGCATGTTGCACAGTGCAACCTAATCGCTGGGGCTTCCCCCAACGGCTTGTAAGTATCCATCTTAAAAAGGGGGAAAAAGCCTGCTTGAAAAATAATGAATTGCTCACATTGAAGTAGAAGGACAAATGGGATGTTTTCATCCTTTCTTATGCAGGCCATAGATGGGTCGAAAATCGGCCGATTTTTCGGCCGAAAATAAAATCGGCCGATTTTCTGATCGTTAGTGGGCTATTTGGTCGGTCGTTTTTCGGTATTTTGGCCGTTTTTTTTTTCTGTAAAGTTGGAAAAAAATCGGCCGATTTTGCCAATCGGCCGATTTTCGCGGCAATTAGTGGGCAAATCGGCCGATTTTTTGCCGATTAAAAAAATCTGCGCATGAGCAGTGACCTGCAAGAGGAAGACAAA